CTGTCCCACCTTTTTTGGAATGTGTAGCTCTCATGAAATCCAAAATGAGCCAATATTTGGCATGACATTTCAAAATGTCTCACTTTCAACATTTGATATGTTATCTATATTCTATTGTGAATAAAATATAAGTTTATGAGATTTGTAAATTATTCCATTCCTTTTTTACTCACAATTTGTACAGTGTCCCAACTTTTTTGGAATTGGGTTTGTATTTGATCAAATATAGTATAAACAAAATAAAAGTAAAAACAGTAATATTGTGAAATATTATTCCAATTTAAAATTACTGTTTTCTATTTTGATATAAAATATAATTTGCTTTAAAACATAATTTATTCCTGTGATGCAAAGCTGTATTTTCAGTATCATTACTCCAGTCTTCTGTGTCACATGATCCTTCAAAAATCATTCTAATATGCTGATTTGCTGCTCAAGAAACATTTATTATTATTATTGTTTAATAATCAATTTTGTATATTATGAGTTAAATAATACATTTTTGTGGAAACCATGTTTGGAGTAAAAACAAAAAGAAAAATGAATACTTTTATTCGGCAAGAATGCAATAAATTAATCAAAAGTGATAGTAAAGTCATTCATAATGTTACAAAATAAATAAATACATAAATAAAGGGGAAAAATGTATCACAATTTCTACAAAATATTAAACCATAAAAACAATATTTATCAATAAAAAACTTGATATAATTGATACAATTATATTATACTTTATAAAATATAAACACTGATAATAACAAGAACCATTACTGACAACTAAGCACCAATAATAAGTGATAATAATTAAATCCTCATATTAGACTGCTTTCTGAATGATCATGTGACACTGAACACTGGAGTAATGATGCTGAAAATTCAGCTTTACCATCATAGGAATAAATTAAATTTTAAAATATATTCAAATAGAAAACATCTATTTTAAATTGTAATAATATTTCACAATATTACTGTATTTTTGATCAAATAAATGCAGCCTTGGTAAGCATTACAGAAATCTTACCAACACCAAACGTTAACCAGTAATGTAAACTATTACCTTAGTAACCCCTATACCACCCATTCCTATTCAACACAATACCCATGTGTCTAAATAACACTTACGATTAGAGCCCAACCCATATGGGTTTTTTGGGGCCGGGGCCGATACCGATATTAGGGAGTAAAAAAATATATATATATCGGCCGATATTCTTTGTGTATATTATAGTACAGTACCAGTCAAAAGTTTGGACACTTTCCCATTCGTGTGTCCAAACATTTGACTGGTACTACATATGGAATACAGTATATACATAAACAGAATATATATACATAAACACATTTTTTGCAATGATCACTCAAATGTGGTGATCAAACACTTATAATGGTGACAGAGATATGTAAGGGCATTTAACAATTTAACAATAAACTTGCGATGAGTGCGATGCACAAAGTAACGGGGTGTTAGTTGTAACACGTGGTTTGAATATTTATTTTACCATAGTAACATTTACATGCTGGCTTAAGTACATTTTTTATCTCAGTTTTTATTATTCATTTAAAATGAGACAAATCTGCTATTATTTTAATCTCCAATCTGTTATTTATCAGTTCAGATAGTTTTTTAATGCTTTGATTCCCTTGGAACTGGAATCATGGCGGAATTTCATGTGAAGTCCACTTCGCAGGGCACTTACGGTCGAATAAGACAATGCGTGAATGCTGCCTGAACAAGAAACCTCCTTACTGTTTGTGTTGACTGGTGTCACTATCTCGCGAACGCGCCAGCGGATCTCCACCAAATTCAGGGGATCCCTTCAGCTTGAGAAGCCCTCTCGAACGCCACCCTCCGTGCGTCGGTAGCCCCCCGGGATCGCTAGATCGGTCGGCGCCGGACCGGAAATTTACCCAGCCGTAACTCCCGAACCCCGGGGGCTATCCACGCGGGGGTGGTCTCATTCGAAAGAGGGCCTCGAGACGTACACTCGATTCGCGTTCGAGAGGGTTCCTTGAGCTGAAGAAATCCCCCGAATTTGGTGCGGATTCGCCGCGCCATTACCGAGATATGGCCGTTCAAAGTTCCAATGGTTTTCTATAGACTTTAGATTTAAAGCGTTTCATCCAGGTCGCCAGTAGCAAACAATGGAGCGCGCTCTGCTGGACAAACTAAGTAATTACACCATTTCAAGCACAAGCATTTTATCTGCATTATTAAAAAAAAAATTCATATCGGCGGCATATTCGCCAATACCGATATATCGGCGACAGGCTCATATCGGCCGATAATATCGGCAAAACAATATATCGGTCGAGCTCTACTTACGATCACCGCTGGCATTAGGTGTGGACATGTCCTGAGGTGATGTGGGTCTGCTGGGGATGTTTGGCTCTGCAGAGGCAGCTGGCACTGGTGAGGGGGCTGGCACAGGGGGAGAGGCTGGAGTAACAGCAGTAGGCAGTGGGACAGGCTCCACAGGAACATTACACACAGGTTCTGTACAAAAAAACAGAAGATATCAGCTAACCAAATCCAAACCTGTGTTGTACATGGTTGAACTCAAATGTTAAATATAAGTATTGTGATTAGCCACATTTCCATTGTCAGGCCAGTGCGAGCCAGGGCTAATAACCAGCCAGGCGGGGCCAATAGCATCGCAGCTCAAGCCGCGAGGCCAAAATCAAGCTGCATTTCCACTGTCAGACCAGCACTATTGTAAAACCTGCCTTTAAAACGCCTCTCTAAAGGAAATGTCACACAACCTCAGCATTTCACCAATGAGGGGAAAATGAATGAAAACTAACTATATCGCAAAACGAACTTGACAGAAGCAGGCATTTGGTCCTTACAAACACTCCAGCATCAATATTTTATATACCAATGATTTACGATAAAAAAAATTGTAATTTATTAATTTGTCAGCAGTGTATATATGTGAAGCTAAATCAAACTAATCTTTATCATTCTTTATCATACAGCCCCAGTTGGCCTACTTTGGACCAAGGTATGCAGAGGGCCGAAAATCCCTGGCCGTTGGCCCCGAGGAAGCCCCAGAAGTGACTGGCCCTGGCACGCACTAGCACGCTCGCTTTTGGCCAGACAGTGGAAACACAGCTATTGAGTGCTCAGTACCTGGAATGACAGCCTGTTTGAAGAGCTCTTCCTTCAGACGGGGTAGGAAACAGTCAATTCTCTCCCAGGTGATTTCCCACAAGTCTGAGTAGCCTGTACGGGAGTCTGCGCTGTGAAAGATCCCTGCTGTGTCCATCACCAGCAGCATGTTCTTCAGAGACTCAGGGATGGCCTCCAGCTGTGCACCAAAGTCAAACACACAGACTCATCAGCACTCAGAATTAAAAACCTTTTTTGTTTTTGCTGTAAATCTTTGAACATCTTATCTAAGAGTGGGTGACATGGCAAAATAACATCAAGTTTTTCCAGGAAGAATCACGATCCACAATCTTTTCACAATTCTTGTTCATTTTGGTTAAGACTATTTACTGGCAAGTTACTGAGCAGTCCAGTCAACCTAATTACCACATATATAGATATAACCCTACAAGGTAACAACACATAAGGCGAGGTTAATATTTTTAGATACAGAAGGTATTTTTAGCAGTTGCATTCAAGTAAAAAATTAATTTATAATCAAACGTAAAAATACATGTAAAATAATTCACTGAATTATCCACCAATTAAAATGATGAGAACATTTTGGGGTCAATACAGGTGATTCTCATACTCATCTGAAAGCATCTTACCAGAAGGTCGCTGGAGCCGGCGTGCATGTACTTGTCCATGAAGTCTAAAATGGTGAGCCAGAGGGCAGCAAATGTGGGCAGAGAAAGCAGTGGCGAGAGATGCTGCAGAAACACCTGAGGAGGTCAAACAATTCAAATAAATGAAATGATCAGCATAATAACTTTAAAATGAATTCAGATTTAAGTTATTAGGATTAATGAGTCCTAGGCCAGACCTTAGAAAGCAGTGTGCAGGCCCTCATCCTGGTCTCCTCCATGCCTCCCACATCAGCTGGACTGATGTTGTCTAGGAGTTTGGTCAGCAAAGGAAACAGGACCTGAAGACAGACAGACATTACCACCATTTCTCAGTTCTATGTACTGAAGAAACTTTTCCCCAAAATAAAAATTCATGTTACCAACTAAATCAACTAAATAGCCAAACAGAACTAGTTCACCTTGTTGAAGCAGGACTCCCACTCCACTGCATCCAGAATTTGTAGATCGTGTACAAGAAGTGCCCTCTGTAGGTAGGTGAGAGCTTGCATCCGGACTTGCCTCCGTGCATCACAGCACAACCAAGCCATACCTACAAGGCCGAAACACATACATTATAGAGCATCTCTCAACATCCAGTTCTTTTATACATTCAAAATTACATCAGATATTACAACAAAACCTCAATATTGTAAGCATATGATTTTGGGCTAGTCTGACCTTGAAGGAGGGGACACCAGCAGCTGGACCACAGTGTTTGAGAATCCGCCTCGATCTTTCTACCAGCATCCTTTAGATGGCGCTGTTCCTCTGCCCAAGAGCTGTAGATGCAGGCTGCTCTCGTGTGCAGTGTATGCATCAGGTCTAACAACTATACGGGCAAAAAGGCTGTTTTAATAATCACTAAACACTCACACACTATACACTTTCAGACTCATATTCATCTTATTAATGGAGATAATATAAATTATTGTAATACAACCACTACTGAGACATGACAGGTAAACCGGTGGAAAGAGCACGACAAAAGACAAAAATTCATGCTATACATTTGATACTATGTTCAGAAATCATGATATTGCTTTTTATGTGCACTATTCAGGCTATGAATATGGAGAAAGCATGTCTGGGTCATATTTCAACAGATATAAAAAGAAAAAAAATAATAAGGATATATTAGAATCATTAACATTTTCGTTATATGCCTTTTTAAAAATACAACCAAGAGCATATTTCTATCAATATTTAATGACTTTAAAAAAACCTCAATGTCAAAATGAATACTTTTACTCCGATACACATTCTCCTGACCCTTTCGTTACAATTGCAACTGCAAAGTACAAAAAACAGAAAGCAATCTTAGCTGATCGGTCAGCGATATTCAGTTCATGAATGAATCTTTTGTTTCAATTCGGTTCCTTTGAATGTGAAAACTGGTTCGCGAAGAGATGTAAATGATTCGTTTCGCAAATCACGAATCTGAATAAAACTCGAGAAGCACCAAGCAGTGCATAACGGATCTCCACTGTGGATCTAAATTTAAAACATTATTTGTGGAAGTTTTAATCTGTGTTTTAACAAGGTAAATAGGGTTTAGGCTAAGTAAACATTTTGAAATTGTGATTACGTGTGAAAAGACAAAGCCAAAGTCAAGACCATTCTGTTTTTGATTCGCATTTTGAAATGATAATCTAATTTAAATCAGAAACTGTTCATGCTACATGTAGCATCTTTGTTTGGATCATGATTAAAATGCAGTGGTTGCCTCTAATTTTCAATTGGTACAGATAGTTCTGTCTGTAATACAGAAAAACATCTTGTTCATGTACTCATTCTCTTAATTCTCTTGCTTAAAACAAATAAAAAATATATATATAATAATAATAAATCGGCAATAATATCACAATTGGCTCATTTGCTTGTAAAAAAATTGAATCAGAATCGGTCATTTTTGTAAACAATCCCTTTAACTCTTATATATCCTATACATATATCTATTAGGGGTTGAACGACTTCAGATTGGGTTTTTTTTTTTTTTTTTTTTTTGTCAAGTCGACATTTATGCGATGAAAGTCGAGTCGAGGTCGACTAGTCGCTGATGACGTCATTAATGAACAAATAAGCCTGAAGCTTGAGCTAAGACTTGTGCACAGCTATTAGTGATGGGAAGTTCGGATTATTTTACCGACTCGGACCTTTGAGTCTCGTTCAGCAAAATTAACTAACCTTTTTTCCGAGTCATTTCGTTCATTTTAGCAAAATATAATTAAAATGTTACACGTTACCTCCCTAACACGTCTACTACTAACGCAAATGTTGATCACACTACAAACAATACAAAATTGCTATAAGAAACAGAAAAGATTAATTCATTGTTTACCAGTCCATGATTAGCCCACCTCACCTCTTATCTGACAAGTATTCAGGTTTGAGTCGTTCGTTCATCACGTGACAGCCCCATAAACTTAACCAATGCAGTCTGAGCCGGAAAGAGAATTGATTAGTTCATCTCTCGAGTCTTTTGAATCGTTCTTTTGTCACGTGACGGGACAGCATTGGATAGAAAAATTTGTTAATTTACAAGCTTCCTTACAAACGGGTGCATAGTTATTATTATTATTATCATCATTATTATAATTATTATTTACTCTTACAGTTACGTGATGCGTTTCTGGTCTCAAATTGTAGCTTTTTACTTCTTACAGTTTATAAATGTGTGAATTTCTGTCATGATGGTTCTTTTCCATAACACTGAATGTTGTAACAAAGGTAATAAAGAGTTGGTTATTATTATTAAGTCTCTTTCCGGCTCAGACTGCATAGGTTAAGCTTATGGGTCTGTCACGTGATGAACGAACGACTCGAAAAACCCAAAGACTCGAGAGATGAACTAATCAATTCTCTTTCCGGCTCAGACTGCATTGGTTAAACTTATGGGGCTGTCACGTGATGAACGAACGACTCAAACCCGAAGACTCGAAACAGGTGAACTACTTGACTAATTCCAGTACAGAACCTATAGGATGTTGCGCTCATGCGCCACTGAACGAATCACTCCCCGAGATGACTCGTTTTTCCCGAGTCACATTAAAGATTTGTTCAAAATTAACGAATCGTTCAAGAACGACCCAACACTAACAGCTATGGCATATGACACAGCGCTGCCCACATGGCTATTGCTCCTATAACAGCTCATTTTTATCAGTTATTTTGTCTTTGGGTTGTTATATTTCTCACAGATTTCTGCTCGTTCTAAATCAGATACAGAAAAAGTAGCACAGCAAAGATTGCATTTATATGAATGCATTAGTGAGAGGGCGATTGCGTGTGAGAATTAATTCTACCTGGCAGCGTCTCTCTACTAATAGTGAAGCAGTGGGTTTTAGTTACCAAGAAATATATGCTAGAACTTTTCAGCTTCTAAGCTATATTGAGAAATCACAGAACAGTGTTGACAATACATTTCCGCGCTACTGAATGATTGTGTCCGTGCAATCTGTGCATGATGTACGAGCTGCTGTCTGTGTGCGTTACAATGCAGCAGCGCATTAGATTAGAATGGCGATTGTAATTTTATTATCAGTTACTTTAATGTTTACTTATGTGTTTTTCTTAAGAGCAACTTTAACTTTGACTTGAGTCAATTTCCATAAAGGTACCCGTTCTTTTACTGAAGTATGATGATTGGATACTTTATACAACACTGAAAATTACTGCAATAAAAAAAAAATCATCTTGGTCAGACATGATTATTTTTACCAGCAGTACAACATACTACTATGATAATTGGATTTACCAAATTTACTTCACATATTTAAATATCTAATTTTTTCTGCATTACTTTAATAATAATAAAAAATCTCAGTAATCAACTAAGAATTAGATGGAGAGGTGAAAAGTAGTCATGAAAAAAAATCATGAAAATATTCTCACAAAAATAGACTTGATTTTCTTTAAGCAAAATCTCAATAAATCATGATCTCATTTCGGCCACAGGTACATCTTTAAAAATTTGAATATCATGAAAAAGGTCAATATTTTTTGTCACTCATTTCAGTGAAATCCATATATTATACAGATTCATTATACAGAGTGGTATATTTCAAGCCTTTATTTCTTGAAATTTTGATGATTTTGGCTTACAGATAATGAAAACTTAAAATTCAGTTTCTCAGAAAATTTGAATATTGTGAAAAAGTTCAATATTGGAAAGTCATGGTGTCACACCCTAATCAGCTAATTACCTCAAAACCTTTAAATGGTCTCTCAGTCTGGGTCAGTAGGCTACACAATCATGGGGAAGACTGCTGACTTGACAGATGTCCAGAAGACAGTCATTGAAACTCTCCACAAGGAGGGTAAGCCACAAAAGTTCATTGCTAAAGAAGCTGGTTGTTCACAGAGTGCTGTATCTAAGCATATTCATAGAAAGTTGAGTGGAAGGAAAAAGTGTGGTAGGAAAAGGTGCACCAGCAAAAGGGATAACCGCAGCCTTGAGAGGATTGTCAGGCAAAATCCATTTAAGAATTTGGCACACACACACACACACACACACACACACACACACACAGTTAGTCCTAAAGGCAAAAAATTGTTCAGAAAATCTCAGTGAGATTCAGACAAATTAGTATTAATATATAATAATTAATATCTAATAATCATGCAGTCAATACTTAGTTTTATTAAACATCAGATATCTTTTGGGCTTTTTTATGTCAGTTTATAAATCTTTACTTGAATACTTCATGTTGCTGTTAGAGACCTAAAAACTAAAAAAAATTTATCTACATATTACTATTTACTTTAATCTAAATTAATGTGTACTTGATTGTGAAATGCCTTTAATCGTTAAATTATTATCATTTTTTATTAATTAAATCTTAATTAATTTTGTTAATTAATAATTAACATTTAACTTTTTAAATAAAGCTCTGCTTGATAGCATTTTAGTTTTTGCTGTGGTATCAAAACTTAGTTAAGAAATGTGAAATTGTACTGCTATTAGTATTGAAATTTTATATTTTTGTATTTTAAAAGTTCTAAAACTAAACAAACCTCAAAGCAAAGCATCAATCTTTATTTTTAAACTGTAGTGTAGAGTTTAAAATGCGAAATGATCACAAAGCCCTCCCCACTGAGCAGATCGGCAAACATGATGATGGACAGATTTAGGAATTAGGGAAAGGGCTGTCGTACTTACGTCCAGACTAACCTGAAAAGACACCGTGTGGTAACTGGCCGGCACGCCCTCATCTTCCTCATCGTCGCTATGAGAACGGGCAGCCCGCTGACTGGATGCTTTGGTTCTCCGCGATGTGCCTTCCTTCTCGCGTGGCTTCTTTCGGAGCCGGCTGGATTTGGAGTCATATTTGTGGCTCTTTTTCTTCTCGTGGGTGCGGTACCCTGCGGAGGGTGTGGAAACAATCAACAGAGTGACTAACAAGAGAAATCAAATTAAGTTTTCAAGTGCCCACCTCCCCATTCTCACGACTGACAAGCACGGTAAAAGCCTGCACCGCTTGATAATGACTGCAAACAAAGCTATGAGAATAAATGACAAGTGCTGATTTTTTTAGCAACCTTTTCTCAATGTGACTGCCCATCTTCACACCCTTTCATTTGCTGGTCAGAAGAACCTGTCTCTGACAAATCTTGGTCAATTTTGGGATTGCAATCAAAAATATTGTGTTCCGTTTCCAGTGAAAGGAGAACAGAGCAGATATCCACCATATCATTATCGCGAACTGTGTCCATTAGATGTTCAAAACTCAAAACTTTGATCTGCCGCCCTCAAAGTGAGCATGTAAGCCCCTGATGACAGCAGGTATCTTCCCATGTAAACAGAGGCCTCTAGCTCATGAAAAGGCCATGCCGAATGGCAGAGCAGAGCTACAAAGTGCTGAATGAGTCCTGACTAGGCCTACTGTAGATCGCCGACCACCCCAGATAGAGGAACTGAGAGACAGAGTGAAGGATAAATAGAGAGGGCACACAAGACGGTTGAATTGCCCCCAAGTTAAATGACTCACCAGTGGAGCACAGCTCAAGATGCAGCACTAAAGAGCTTACAGGCACTGACACATCCAATTACAAAGCCACAGAAGTGAGGCAGACACTCTAATCCCCCAAGGAGTCTAACGTCCTAGATGAAGTTTGAATAAAATGCCCTCCAAAAGATTAGTTTGGAATGAAACCAATCAAAAAATGAAATTTTACTATGGCAACACTGAATATTTTGTTAATGTGGCAGCATTCAAACTGGAGCAATGGCTGTGTGTCATGTGGTAATGTAAAGATGATAATTCATATTCATCAGATATTTAACAGATAATTAATTTGTTTCACAGAAGATGGGCAAGTTTCAGTGTCAATGATCTCACACCATATTCAGCAATAAAAACATTCAAGTAATAGCCATTTTACATCACATGCATAAGCAGGGGGCATTTTTACCTTCATTAGGGCATTTTATTTCTAACTGTATTAAATATATATCATCTGTAGTCATTCTCATATTTAAATTCATATTTCTCAAAAACTCATATTTCTCAATTAAATTAGAGAAATAGGACACTACAGGGCTGTTACCAATCAAATGAAATCAGTATCATCAAAAGCCATCATTGCACTGCAGAGGTGGCAGTTTTAAAATTACAATTACATTAATAATGCTATGACATGGTATTTTTTAATATGAAACTAAAACCACCATTAAGTGGAAATAAGTTACTGGCTTAATAAGTGAGTCTTTGAATCATTATTTCAAACAATTAGTTCAAAAAGACTGATTCATTCACAAATGAAGCAAGAGGCTGTCTTTATGAATGGCTCATTGAATCATTCACTCATTCACGATTTGTTCAAACACAGAATTGCAATTGTGCTGATATTTTGGGAAAACAGCACTCTTGCTTGTGTGATATTGCTTAACTATATCATGTGATATGAATTTAACAAAAACTAATACAGGAGGATTTTTTATCTTGTATCTTGATCTTTTATGGCTTTGTGACTTTTATTAATTTCAGTGGCATTTTTACCCAAAGCCCCAGTTGATTTCTGACATTAGCACTTTGTTGTATAAGAGATACATACCTCCATTAAGGCTAGCCTCCACAAACACACGTATGGCTTTAACACAAAGCTCAAAGTTTTCTGGAGTGACATGGGCGGCATCGCGTACGATGAAGGAAAGCGAGTCCACGCACTTGATGAGGGATTTGGTGTCATGCAAACCCATGTCCTGCCCAAGAGTTAAACTGTACTGGTTAATGAGAGTATGGCTCAAGGGCTTTGAAGCTGGGGTCACTGCTGCCTTAGATCCATCCAGATCATCTTTACCCACCTACCCAAAACAGAAAGAAATTATATTAGGGGACATGTCTATCCAAATAAACATTCATAATAATGATAGGACACACATTGCCCTTAGTGAGAGTGGATCTGTCTCCAACAGACTTCCTGTGTGTGGTATTGTGTGAACACTTACCATTAGCCAGCCCAAATCCACATCAGTAGCTGAACGAGGCATTCTGGATTTGCCGTGCTCGGTGTAAACCTCAGAGTCAGACGTATATCCCCGATCAAGACTAACTTCACTCTGATGATATGAACTGAGTTCGCTATCGGACTGAGCGCCTGGAACAAAAGGATTACACAAGATAAGCCCACCTGGAAAAGGACTTTAGGCCATACTCGACTGTGTCTTGAGGTGCATTAACAGATAAAATGGTTGGAAATGTGAATCACCTGTGTCAATGTCTGGGTTGGTGTTGGAGACCTGTAGGGCAGCCGGAGGTTTGACCCCAGTCCCGATGCACTCCAACAGTGAAAAGAGCGTGTACCAGTCGTCAGTGCAGTGGATGTTGGCAGCATTGGTTTTAAGCAGCTCATGCAAGCCATAGGCCACCTCTCGACAGACTCTGGACAGGACGTGCGGCTTCATCATCAACAGCAAGCGAAGAGAGAGGAGAACCTGTGCAGAGAGAGGGAGGAAACTGCTTAGTAGTCTGTTTGGTCCACTTCCTCCTTGTCTTCTCACCGTTTTATCCTCCACAACACTTATCGTTAACATGCATTATTCTTTTCTTGCCTGCTTATCAGCGTTGTAACACAGCCATCATAATGACACAAAGTGAGAGTTTGCACTGTATGTGTCAAGTGTGTGTACCTGTGAGCCTATGTCCTCTCTACGCAATAAGCGTATGGCAAGTCTGAGCAATCCCACCACTGCTCTCTCCACCAGGAAGCAGCTCTCACTGGCATGGACGCATAACTGGTACAGATGATCCCGTACCGTTTGCCAAACACACGATACTCTGTCCCTGCAAACACAGTCATCTCTCTATAAAAACCTACAAGCTGCCGTATCTTCGTCTGACTCCATCAACTAGTAATTCTCAATGACGTAATGCAACGTGTTAATGAGTGCAGTACCTGTTTTCAAGAATAATTCGCAGCAGCATCTCCAGACAAAAAGCAGCATCTTCTTCATCATATGTTTCCTCATCAGGGCTCACCGAGATGAGAGCCTGGAAGCATTAAAGATTACATAACAAACAAACCTTTAGGTAATACTGGAACACACCAAAGAAAGAAAATGGTTTTGTTCTTGTATACACCCAAGTCTTTCTACGTGTACCTCACCTTCATGAGCTCCTGTAAAGACTCCAATTGCAGAAACTTGCTTTCAGTAATCAGCTTTTCTGGGTCACAGTGCTGACGTAAAGAAAGAAGAAATGAGAGAAAATTCTGTTATTCAGGTAGGCTAGCATATTTTTCAGATGGAGTAATGAATCAGACTGACTTTTTAAAGCAATGCCTTCTGTAAGTGAGTGTGTGTGCTGTACCTTTATGCAGAGCAGGGCAGCTTGTTTGGCCTCCTGGTTCTCAGTGGAGGGGCCTCTGAGCCCAGACTGTTCACTCAATGTTAACCAGCTTACAAAACTCAATACAGCTGACTCACCCCTGACAGAAGTACAACAGTAGAAAAGAATAACTTAACTAATTCATCCAGGACCTTTAGGCACCCCCAAAAAAAGAGCCGTTTTAGATTTACATTAAAAATCAAATTGAGCTGAAAATTACATGAAAATTACAAATTTCCACAATTGGTCAAGATTTGGGCCTCTTTAGATTTCAATTAATATTTAGATTTCCTGATCAGGCAGATCAAAATTATATTTCAACATTGTTCTTATAAGACTTGAAAGAATCTATTAGGGCATCACACAAACATCAAAATGGCTGATTGTCACTGTGTGACCAAATGTGCATATAAGCAATAAAACAAAAAAAACAAAAAATGGTTTTAATGTTTTTACATTTCACATAACAAATGTGAAGATGTTTTCAATATGCATAACAAAATTGCAAAAGTCAAATTAAAACAAATAAAATAAGATAAAAAGTGCATATTACTGGACTAGAAATCACAGGTATAATAACTATGTATTAACTATGTAATACCTACATAACTCAAATGCATTAGTTTATGTAACAGATCAGAATAACAGATCTTTAGAGCCATAGTGCATACATATACACACACACACACATATATA